CCTGGCGTTGGAGTCTCAACGGCTTTTGGTGCTGGGAGACTTCAATATCCACGCCGAGGCGACCCTCACAGGAGCGGCTCAGGACTTCATGTCTGCCATGGCAACCATGGGGCTGTCCCAACAAATAGCTGGCCCCACCCACTGTGCTGGACACACATTGGACTTGGTTTTCTGTCAGGGATGGGAGCAGGGTGGCGGTGTGGAGGAGTTGTCCATCTCTCCGTTGCCATGGACTGACCACTTCCTGATCAGATTTAGGCTCACTGCACCCCCTAACCTCTGCAAAGGTGGAGGACCCATTAAGATGGTCCGCCCCAGGAGGCTTATGGATCCGAATGGATTCCTGACGGCTCTTGGGGATTTTCCGCCACCTCGGTAGGTGACCATGTCGAGGCCTTGGTCGCTCTCTGGAATGGGGAGATGACCAGGGCAATTGACAGGATCGCTCCGGAACGTCCCCTCTCAAGTAGCCGAGCTAAACCAGCTCCTTGGTTTACTGAGGAGCTGGCAGTGATGAAACGAAGGAAGAGGGAACTAGAGAGCGTGTGGCGTTCGGACCAAGCGAGTCAAATCGAGCACGGTTTGTGTCCTTTCTAAGGGCATATGCCGCGGCAATAAAAGCCGCAAAGAAAACTTTCTTTGCGGCTACTATTGCGTCTGCAAAGAACCGTCCGGCGGAGGTGTTTCGGATTGTCAGAGGTCTTTTAACTCCCCCTACCTCAGGTGGGAGCCCTGACAATTCGGTCACGCGCTGTGAAGCATTTGCTCGGTTCTTTGCAGACAAAGTCGCTTTGATCCGTTCTGGGCTGGACACCATGTTAAATGCAGTCTCTGAGGATGTGACACGAGCACCTGCTTGTCCTATTTTGATGGATTATTTTCAGTTTGTGAAGCCCGAGGATGTGGACAAGATACTTGGAGGAATGAGGCCCACCACGTCCATCCTAGACCCCTGCCCATCCTGGCTTCTGAAGGAGGCCAGAGGGGGATTGGCTGAGTGGGTAACGGTGGTGGTTAATGCCTCCCTTCGGGAAGGCAAGATTCCAGCGTGCTTAAAACAAGCAATTATAAAACCGCTGTTGAAGAAACCATCATTGGACCCCACTAAATTTGACAACTTTCGGCCTGTTTCCAATCTCCCCTTTTTGGGCAAAGTCATGGAAAGCGTGGTGGCCTCACAACTCCAGGTATTCTTGAGAGACATGGATTATCTGGATCCGGCACAGTCTGGTTTCAGACCGGGACATGGAACCGAGACGGTCTTGGTCGCCTTAGTGGATGATCTACGCCGGGAGCTAGACAGGGGGAGTGTGTCCCTGTTGGTGCTCCTGGATCTCTCAGCGGCCTTCGATACCGTCGACCACGGTATCCTTCTGAGGCGCCTTGCGGAGATGGGCCTTGGGGGCACTGCTTTGCAGTGGCTCCACTCATTTCTGGAGGGTCGTACACAGAAGGTGTTATTGGGGGACTCCTGTTCAACACCACAGCCTTTGACCTGTGGCGTTCCACAGGGTTCTATACTGTCCCCCATGCTGTTTAATATCTACATGAAGCCGCTGGGTAAGATCATCCGGAGTTTCGGGGTGTGGTGTCATCTGTACGCAGATGATGTCCAACTCTGTCACTCCTTTCCACCTGCTACTAAGGAGGCTGTCGAGGTCCTGAACCGGTGCCTGGCCGCTGTAACGGTCTGGATGAGGGCGAACAAATTGAAATTGAATCCAGACAAGACAGAGGTACTCCTGGTCAGTCGCAAGGCCGAACAGGGCATAGGGTTACAGCCTGTGTTGGATGGGGTCGCACTCCCCCTGAAGACGCAGGTTCGCAGCTTGGGTGTGGCCCTGGACTCATCACTGAGCCTGGAACCCCAGGTTTCGGCGGTGACCAGGGGAGCATTTGCACAGCTTAGGCTCGTGCGCCAGCTGCGCCCGTACCTCGGGAAGTCTGACTTGGCCACGGTAGTACACGCTCTGGTCACATCCCGCCTTGACTACTGCAACGCTCTCTACGAGGGGCTGCCCTTGAAGACGGCCCGGAAGCTCCAGCTAGTCCAGCGCGCGGCAGCCATGTTACTAACAGGAGCGGACGCAGGGAGCACACAACGCCCTTGTTGTTCCAGCTCCACTGGCTGCCGATCTGCTACCGGGCCCAATTTAAGGTGCTGGTGTTATCCTACAAAGCCCTAAACGGTTCCAGCCCAAAATACCTATCGGACCGCATCTCGGCCTATGAGCCCACGAGGGCCTTAAGATCGTCTGGGGAGGCCCTTCTCTCGATCCCGCCTGCCTCACAGGCACGCCTGGCGGGGACGAGAGAAAGGGCCTTCTCGGTGGTGGCCCCCCGGCTGTGGAACACCCTCCTTGTTGACATCAGACAGGCGCCCTCCCTTATGGCTTTCCGTAAGAGCCTAAAGACCTGGCTATTTGAAAAGGCATTTAATTGAGTGCTATACAAACTGGTAATGACAAGTGGAACGGAATACGGTCTATGAGATTGGCTATGATTCTATGTGTGACGACGCGGATTAGTTTAGTGTAAATTAGTTAGTGTGTATTAGTGAATTGCTGATTTTGTTGTGCTTTATTGTATACTGTTTTTATATGTTGTACACCGCCGCGAGTCGCCCTAGGGCTGAGAGCGGCGGTTAACAAATGCAATAAATAAATAAATAAATAAATAAATAAACCTGAAACATTAGTGACACATGGGTAGCTTTGCACTAAAATTATGTCAACTACGGCATATTAATGGGTAGCTTTGCACTAAAGTTATGTCAACTACGGCAATAAAACTGGGTATTCTTGGATTTGAATCTGAATGATGATTGTGTATCCCAAAAGATAACATTTAGCTCAAGAGGGCTGGCTTTGCTATTTATTGATTGGATTTTTAAAAAGCTGAGTAGCTAATGTCTGTAAAATTATATTTTATAGCTAGATGCAAATATATATAACTCCCCTCCGGCAGTTTTTAGTAGTTTCCTTTGCTTCATTATCTCCTGGATCTACAACCATTTCATTAATCTATTCCTTTCTCCTAAGCAACTGGCAAGAGGTGCATCTACATTACTGAATTAATGAAGTTTGAACTCTGTGCAGGTACAACTGTACCAGGAGCTCCAATTTTGTTTGCTTTGCATTGAATGTTTGTTGTAGTCCCAAGTTTCAGGGACTCTGCAGATAGGTGGCTTCTTTTGGCTGCAATCATAGGGCAAGCCACCTGTCAATTATAGTTAGGTTCCCTGGTCCCACCCCTTTTTGGGTTTTTGGAGGGAATAGGAGCCTTTTTGGGTCAGTCCACACAGAGAAGCTTTCCATGCAGGACATAATACCAAGAGCTCCTGTAGAAAGCTTCATCTTCTACAGCTTGGCCGGGGAGATACAGCCCACAGCTTGGCCGAGGATCATATAGCCTTACAGCTCCTTTGCTGAGGGACTTCAGTCAGCCATCATTGAAACCTAAACTCCTTTTTCCCTGGAAGTCTACAAAGCTCTGCTTGGTAAGCGTCACTTGCGGAAGCCATAAGCAGTTGGTACCGGGTGCAGGGGCTCCACACCAACAGAGACAAAGACAGACTGCCCAGATTAGAAGTTAAGGATTTCCCTATTAGCTAAAATACAGTTTATGAAGATAGTGCCTGTTCCCTGTGGACAAGATTGAGAGAGAGCCAATAGACCAGGGGTCCACAAACTTTTTAAACAGAGGGCCAGGTCACAGTCCCTCAAACTGTTGGTGGGCCGGATTATAATTAGCAAAAAACATGAATAAATTCCTATGCACACTGCAAATATCTTATTTGTAGTGCAAAAAAACATTTAAAAACAATACACTAATTAAAATGAAGAACAATTTTAACAAATATAAACTTATTAGTATTTCAGTGGGATGTGTGGGCCTGCTTTTGGCTGATGAGATAGAATTGTTGTTGTTGTGTGGTTTCAAGTAGTTTCATACTTAGGTTGACCCTGAGCGAGGGCCGGGTAAATGACCTTGGAGGGCCGCATCCGGCCCCCAGGCCTGTTTGAGGACCCCTGCAATAGACTGTTAAGAAAGCTTTAAAGTACCTGTTTGTTTTAATTAATAAAGAACTTTGTTGAACCTTTAAGCAATCTAAAGACTCTGTTTGGAGGAAATCCAAGGGCCTTTAATCTGAGGCAGCCCCGGCGTCCCGTTGGGCACACAGAATTTATGTCCTGTCTACAGTCTTACGCACAGGCCCAGCGTGTGACAGCACAAACCCACTGAACTGCCAGGGCTGGAGGCTGTAGCCTTCTCTGCCAAAGAGTGTTTGCTGATATCTCAACAAACTACAACTTGTATTGTTCCATACATACAGGGGCGGCTCAACCCATTACTCAAAGTAAGCATTTGCAGTATAGTTGATTTTGCCCAGGGGCACTCTTGAGGCGCTCTTGGGGGAAAATACACCTTGACATATGCGAGTTGCAGTTACTGGGATGTATAGTTCACCTACAATCAAAAAGCATTCCGAACTCCACCAATGATGGCATTGAACCAAATATGGCACACAGAACTCCCACAACGAACAGAAAATATATATCAGTGATTGGTTGGGGGGGGGGGGCGCCAAAATACTGATTGCTTACTGTTGAAAATTACCTAGGGCCGCCTCTGCATACATAGCATTGAGCCATGGCAGCCTCCCACAATTCCTAACAGCCTCAGTCCCTATGCGGATGAGGAAAGGGCCTGGGACTTTTAGGAATTGTGAGAGTTGAATTCCAAAACGCCCAAGTTTGCCCCTGCCTGATCTACACTTTCTGAACCCAGATTATATCTGCTTGGAGCTGGAACTATATGAGTCTGCACTGCCATGCAATCCCGTCCTAAGCAGATTCAGAAACTGTCTGGTATGAGTGTGTACAAGGGCAGGCCTCAGGGCCGCGCGCCGACTGGCCCCGCCCCCTGTCTCGATCATTTCCTTCTTTCCTCCCAGGCCCCGCCCCTTCTGTCTGGCCCCGCCCCGAAGGGGGCGGAGTCGGCGCCTGCGCAGTTCCTCAGGGAGGCCGGGACGCTGCGGGCGGGCGGAGGGATGTACGTTACGGTTAAATAGTGGGTGAGGGCGGCCGCAGGAGGAGCAGCAGCAGCAGCGCTTCCTCAGAGACCGGAGGGAGAGGAGGCTTGGTCGCCGGTGGAGGGAGCGGAGCGCTTCGGGCCTCCATGGCGAGGCGGGCTCATGGGCGGCCGCGGCAGAAGAAGAAGCAGCAGCTCCTTCGCGGTTAGCGCCGCCGAGAGGCCTTTCATTGTCTTCGGCGGCGGACTGACTGACTGACGGACTGAGGGGCTCTTCGTCCTCTCGCCTCTTTTGAGCCTCGGGGGCTTCCGTCGCCGCCGTCACCGGAGTGCTTGGCGGCGGCGGTGGCCTTGCCTCGCCTCTATGATGAAGTTTAAGCCCAACCAGACTCGGACCTACGACCGGGAGGGCTTCAAGAAGAGGGCGGCGTGCCTCTGCTTCCGCAGCGAGAGGGAGGACGAGGTGGGTCCCCAGGGGGAAGGCCGGAGGTGGACTTCCTGAAGGCAGCTCGGAGTCTCACTACAGCAGGCCTGGGCAGACTTGGGCCTTCCAGGTGTTTTGGACTCCAACTCCCACCATTCCTAACAGCCTCAGGCCCTTTCCTTTTCCGCTTAAGCGGCTGAGGGGGGAAAGGAAAGGGCCTGAGGCTGTTAGGAATGGTGGGAGTTGGAGTCCAAAACACCTGGAAGGCCCAAGTTTGCCCAGGCCTCGTCTACAGTGTGATGGATTCAAATGGCAGAAAAAGATATTCCACCTAAACCTTAGGAAGAACTTCCTGATGGTAAAAGCCTCTTCAGATGTGGAATATGCTTCCCTGGAAGTTTTTAAGCAGAGGTTGGATGGCCATCTGTTGAGAGTGCTTGTATTGGCTGTTCCTGCCTGGCAGAATGGGGCTGGCCAACCCCCTTGGAGACTCCATCACTGAAGGTTTTTAAGTAGAGGCTGGATGGCCATCTGTTGAGAGTGCTTATATTGGGTGTTCCTGCCTGGAAAAATGGGGCCAGACTGGCTGACCCCCTTGGAGATTCTTTCACTGGAGGTTTATAAGCAGAGGTTGGATGGCCAACTGTTGGGAGTTCGTGTTTTGGGTATTTCTACCTGGTATAATGGGGCTAGACTGGCCGACCCCCTTGGAGACTCCTTCACTGGAGGTTTTTAAGCAGAGGCTGGATGGCCATCTGTTGAGAGTGCTTGCATTGGGTGTTCCTGCCTGCAAAATGGGGCCAGACTGGCCGACACCCTTGGAGGCTCTTTTACTGGAGGTTTTTAAGCAGAGGTTGGATGGCCAACTGTTGGGAGTTCGTGTTTTGGGTATTTCTATCTGGTATAATGGGGCTAGACTGGCCGACCCCCTTGGAGACTCCTTCACTGGAGGTTTTTAAGCAGAGGCTGGATGGCCATCTGTTGAGAGTGCTTGCATTGGGTGTTCCTGCCTGGCAGAATGGGGCTAGACTTGCCAACTCCCTTGGAGACTCTTTCACTGGAGGTTTTTAAGTACAGGTTGGATGGCCATCTGTTGAGAGTGCTTGTATTGGGCGGAATGGGGCCAGACTGGCCAACCCTTGTGATTGTGCCTGTATGGTTCAGTGTGCACAAACATTTTTTTCATACATAAAATACTGCATATAATTATCTCAAATTGTAGAGTTGGAAGACAGCCCCCACCCAGGGCCATCCACTCCAACACTATTCTCCCAGGCAGAAATCTGCACCCCAACAGATGGTAACCCAGGTGACCATTTGGAATCCCCCCCAGGCCACAACCAGCCAGGTTTTAAAGCTGCAAGGCCATTAAATGCTAATCAAGGTGGCCATTTGCACCAGTCCCACTTGCCTCGAGGAGAGAAAGAGTTCTTTCTCCCAGCCGGGGCATTCCAGAGATATATAAACCCCACTTGCTTAGTTTCCAACAGACCCATTGACCCCTGCAGATGCCTGTCATAGATGTGGGTGAAATGCCAGGAGAGAATGCTCCTGGAACATGGCCATACAGCCTGGAAAACTCGAAGCAACCCTATCCAGGCTCTGATTTAAAAAGTCCAGAGAAGGAGACTCCACCACTCCCCAAGGTAGAGCATTCCAGATTTACCTATAATGTACAAGATGTACGGATTTTGTGTTTAGACCTGGCTCCCATCTCCCAAGATATTTCAGTATGATATTATGCAAATATCCCAAAATCAGAAATCCCAAACACTCCTGGTCCCAAGCATTTTGGATAAGGATACGCAACCTATATGTAACAGGTAGTGTATTAAATCCCCTCTTTCCCCTGACCCACAAATACAAAATCATTGGGAATACACTATATGTTAAATTGCCCTTTGTATAATGACCCTAGAAACAATCTTCTGGGAGCCCTTTTGGAAGAAAGGGAAGCATGGCAAGAGTCAGCAGTTATCTGTGACTTTTTAGCAGGTTATTCCAAAAACATAACATTAAGGGTTGCCACATTTGCAGTTGCAGCCCAAATTAGTAAAGTCCACAGCAGAAGCTAGAAATTGAGATAGTTTAGGATGATAGAAATCAGACATTGTTATTGTTACCATGTCACTGCTATATGGAATATGTTTTAATGTTTATATTGGAAAGTGCTTATTGTAATTTTAAAGGTTGCATATTATTTGATGTCAAGGGCTATGGCAATTCATTCATTCATATTCAACCTATAGAAAATTCACCTCTTCTGAGATAGGCCTGGGAGGGTCTTTGAGGGGTCTCGGCCTCTCGAGTGGTGAGGCATTGCCAACAAGGGCATCCTGCCAAGCAAGGTCTCCCTCCAGCTTGGTTTAGTTGCAACATAGAGCAATAACAGAGAAGATCAGGGTGTAATATATGAAAGAGCTACTGTAAAAAAGCCAGCCCGCTAGTCTGTAAATGTCTACTTGTTTAAACTGAAATGAAAGTGTGCAGAGCACAGTGCATCCTTCACATACAGACTTGTACCTTAGCCGGAAAGATCTGGCTGTCTCTGAAAACAGCATGGCCTGAGTTCAATGACCTTTTCAGTGAGAGGGCAGATCAAGTTGCTTTTGTGACACCATTTTCAGAGCCAGCATCTTTCTCCCCCTCCCCTCGCCCAATTGGCACCGCAGACAGGTAGGCGGCACTGGCTTCTATTTATGCAAGAGTAGTCTGCTTTTGCCCCATTCTTTTTTCCCCCTCCTGTATTCAGATCCAGTAAATCTGCCACATTTGATAGGGTAAATTACCATCCCACTGAAGCAAAAGTAGTGGAAGTGGCTTTGAAAAGTCACTGGGTATACACTATATGATGTGGTAACAGATGTCAACCACAAAATTGCTCGTAATATAAAGGACATGTAAAAGTTCAGTTGGTCTTCCGTATCCATGAATTCCACCAAGCCTTGAAAATTTCAGCAACCTCTCCCTCCAAAAAGCAAATCCCGATTTTGCCATTTTATTATATCACTGTATATAAAGGGACTTGAGGATCCTCGAATGTTGGTATCCATGAGGGTCCTGGAACCAAACCTCAGCAGATACCATGGGCCTTTTCTAGAGTGTTTTTAGACATTTTCGTACAGTGGTTTCTTTTTTTAAATACAGTAGAGTCTCACTTATCCAATGTTTGCTCATCTAACATTCTGTATTATCCAACACAGTCTACCTCCTGCCCGGATCCACAGCTGTTTCAATACATTGTGATGTTTTGGTGCTAAATTCATAAATATAGTAATTACTACATAATATTACAGTGTATTGAATTGCTTTTTCTGACTATTTGTTGTAAAACATGATGTTTTGGTGCTTAATTTGTAAAATCATAAGTAATTTGAAGTTTAATAGGCTTTTCCTTAATCCCTCCTTATTATCCAACATTTTTGTTTATCCAACGTTCTGCTGGGCCATTTATGTTGGATAAGCAAGACTCAACTGTAAAGTAAAATGCTATATAATAGATACATGCTATCAATTCCACTATCATGGAAACCTACGTTTTGTGCTACCTTCTTTAGGGAGTTTTGTTACAATGTTATGGTCTTTGCGTGTTCATTATCCATGAGTCTTATAAATATTCAGCACTCCCTACACTTTGGGGGAATGTGTTGACCTCTACTGAGATTTGTAGTACCTACTTCAGTATGCTGCTCCTGCTTTTTAAGGGTGTTGCTGCTCTCTAAGTTTAAGCTTCAAAAATACAGACAGTATGATAGAAGGATGCAGTAATATGCAAACTCATTTGGGAGTGGTCTTGTGTAAATATGGTTGTGTTCTAGGCAGTAAATTTAGTTTTCAGTTATTTGAAGAACATGAGATAGCGGTCTAGCTGTATTCCAAAAAAAAGTGCAGGGAGGTAGAATTTTTAAACCTATATAGTTTATTTTAATAGTTTTATTTGTCTGAAAACTGTACTTTCAACTAATAGAATGTTAGAATGTTACTGGTTTTTGCTTTTCCACGTAATCAAACATCTTTGTTGTAAGATGTCTAAGGAATAGCAAGTTCAGGTTTCTTTTTAGAAATGCTTTAAATTTGTAGGGGAAAGCCCTATGAATGCTGTTTCTGCAGCATCATATCTTCATCTTTGCCAAGACTAGTACATGATGGTACTGTCACACAATGCAAACAGTTCTGCCAAAAACAGATTTGGCTTTTGCATCTTTTGGCAAAAATTCTCCATGTTCCATGATCCAATTTTATAGTATGCCAATATAGTGGGATCTTATTGCTGAAAGTATTGTAAGACAGATAGCTCTATCCATATGATACCAAGAGGTATGTTGCTCAGGTACACAGAACAGTTAAAACTCTTAATTGGGGTAAATGATGCCTCACTGACTGCAAGCAGAATACTGTACCTTTTGCTGAAGACTCAAGTAGCTCTTCTCTTGCCAATAGTACGGCGTATCAGCATTGTTTGGTTGTGTTGGCACCACCATAGTGCCTCTTAGTAAAACAAGGCTTCCCCCTTAGTTTCACACGCTGGTGTTTTCACTGTAAATTGAAAGTTTCGTTTTCAAAGTGGCCAGTTGATAAGGAATGTATTAAAGCATTATTTTCAATCTCCAGTTGCTGTATACAATTTTAGAATTATATTTATATTATTTAACATTGGGATATTTGGGGACGCAGGCTGTATATAACAAAATTTAAACCCACAAGTGTTTATTCCATTAAAAAATTAAAACTCCATTTAATCCTTAAGATTCTTTTGTACAGCAAAGTACACATTGAACGAGGATGGTGGTGGAAAGCCAACTGCTGAGATAATGTATCATAAATGGTAGCCCTGCTTGTATCACTGGACACTTACTTTTAGAGCTGGGATTGTTGTGAACTATATGATGTTGAAATATAAGTCTAATTGTATTGTTGAAGGCTTTCATGGCCGGAATCACTGGGTTGTTGTAAGTTTTTCGGGTTGTATGGCCATGTTCCAGAATCATTCTCTCCTGACATTTCGCCTGCATCTATGGTAGGCATCCTCAGAGATTGTG